AGTCATTTGGAAATACCTTGAAAATGCGAGAGTGCCCAGAATTCGACTTCCGTGTTTTTCTTTTAATATCTGCTCACATCTCTTTCTTAAAATAAATGTCAAGTTTGAGAAACTTCTTCTTTCTCTTCTCCAAGGCTCAATCGTGAATAATAAATTTCGTGAGTCTGTGGGTAGCACGAATCATAGATCATTCATCATTGTTGAGAGTAAGATAAATCTTTTGCGAATGTGTTTCAATGTTACGAATTATATTTCGGTCATTTTTATGTTGAGTCAAAGATTATTGGAGAGATGGTAAATTTTAGTACATATTTAATTAATTTTTCAAGTATTTTAGAAAAGCGCAATTTTTTTCTTCTTGTGCTTCGATGTTAAAGAAATGATTCTTTTCAATCTACAATTAAATCTCTGTTGCTTGACATCTATTATAATTTTTTTGTAACTCTGATTCAAATATCTTGTTTGCATTAACCTCAATATTCTATCTGATTGGCCTAGATAAGACATAGATTATTATGTCAATGTATCCTCTTGGCCATTTCTTTTTATGTTACTATCCTTGTGTATAATAATTACTATTGTCAAGTCAAAATGTTTATTATTCAAATTTGAATTACATCTTAAGAAGTTATAAATATATTAATTATATGTTTTTTTTATTAAGTGTCTTTGATAAAACAGTTTCTATAAAATTAAGATAGAATTTGGCATAATATTTTCTTTTTGATACTGAATATCTTTGCACGATTAATATTTCAACGATATCACGATGCTTTATTTACATTTTATGTAAATAATAAATGTCAGGTGTTACAAATATACGCTTTATTTCTGTATTGCAGTATGAAACAATAATATGTTTGTACTAATACTATCGATATTGCAAAAGCTTAAGATATCGCGATCTCGAGACATAGTGAAAAGTGAGAGGAGAGAAACTCGCTTGTTGTCGTTTGACATTGCTCGCGGCTGATAATGAGTGTTTGCTCATTGTTGGCTCAAGGCTTTGGCTCTCCCTCGAACTGGTCAATCTTTATACACACCGTCAGGCACAAAATTAATCCACGCCTTGTATGATGGCCAAGGATGGTAGGTCAAGGTGTAACTACTCATATTCTTCATTGCTTCCTATATAAAAGCTTAAAGCTTTCTCCCTCCATATGATATATTATACTTCTATTTTGAAAATAATATGATAAAAGATAACAAAAGGTGACGTTATTTTTTTCTCAAAATCGGTAGTAAGAATTTTAAACTTCACGAAATTATACAACTTGAAGAAGCGTTTACTGAGAATTTTTTTTTAGAATTTATCTTCAGAATCATGGTAATTGAAAAACAACATTGTATTTTGAAAAATTATGTGATTTTTTCTGATGTTAATGTTTTTACAATAAAATATTAATTAATTTTACTAACAAGTATAGTAAAATTTTAGTAATTTTAAAATATATTAAAGAATTTATGATTTTTTATTGTTTTAAATAGAATAGATATACGAAGTAATGATAAACAAATAAAATATCTTACATAAATTTTAGAATATAATATGATATTTTTAATTTGACTTATTGTTCGTCATTCATAATTTTGTCATACATTCGTAATTTTACCATGATAATTTGTCAACGTTAAAATATTTCTAAACTTAGATTCGGAAATAAGTATGTTTTTTATTATTATTTTCAATGTTTACCTTAGTGAAACGGTAAATTGTATTATTTCTAAAGGAAATACTCTGAAATATTCTAAATACAGTAAACTACGTGTGCATACACATACACAATAAATTTAACGAAGATAAATTTAATCAAGGCAACTCTAGCACGTCTCAAATCTTGTGATGAAACCTGTAGTACGTGAATGCGACCCTAAGGGATTTACTGAAAGGACCTTGGAGAGAATCGGCGGGGGAGAGACTCGCGAGGAGGATTCCATGAAGCAACGCACGTGCCTCTTAAAGACGGTCGAAGGCCATATTGCTCGTAAATTTTCGGGTTGGTTGAGGGGTGAAAAAACCCGGGCCAAATCGAGCTTGCTTCGCGCTTAAGGATAGTGCGTTTTTCGCGAGGGTCGCGACCTTGCTACGTGGAAAATTGTGAAAGGAGCAACAAGGACCGTCGTCGAAGGGCAAAAATCGACGGAATAAGTGAAGGACAAAAGTGTGTTAACCCGGAAGAGCGTTTTGAGTAATAAAAGAAAGATATTTTCACATCCTACACGTATAGTAATATAGAAGGCTCTAATATAATGCATCATTTTAGAAGAAATTATGTTGTCAGAAATAGGTTTGCTGTTTTTATTGTATAAAGAGATGAAATAATAATAAACTTGTAAAAAAATTTAATACAAATCATATCATATTATGATTATATGATCTATTTTGTGAACAATCAACAAATGGCAAAAATGTACAACCTATATAGAATTGGACATTTTAATTTTGTCCGCAAAATGTTTCTACGTATAGTTTAATTAGCAGCAGCGTACAACAAGGAGTTACAATCGCGAGAGTAAACCCATCGGGAATCATCCCGATTGTGTTCGCGATTTTATGTTTGTGGGCCGGCTTTATACTTAGAATCCAATTATCGGAAAGTTACGATGGCGGGCATTGTCTTCGCGATGGAATCCTATACCAACGGCTTGCGTGGTTCGAGGCTACCTTCTACTGGTGTTTGAGAGAATGCGCACTGTCCCTGGACAAGCAGAGTACATTCCCAGACTGGGTTTCAGCCTCCAGGACGCCCTCACATTACGAACCGCGCGTATCCGTCCCCCGCACTTCCGCCCCCCTTCCACGCATAAAAGCCTTCGCACTCTGCGTCTCAGCTAAGGAGCGCGTTCAAGGTTCCGGCCGAGGCCGCAGACACATCCAACGAGATCGGCATCCCCCCTTGTGCTAGTACTCTCCCCCTATGTCAACATAAGGAACAGAGACAATGGATAGTACCTACTAATGCTTATTATTTTTATTCATCTCACTAATAGACAGTCGAAGAATCGGTAATTTCCCGTATATTCGTAAGAATTGCGAATAAAAGGATATTATTTATAAATCAGTGTATTTTGCATAACTGTTGCATTGATTGTATGTTTATAACGCATGCATTAGCAGATTAACAAGCGATCTTTCGGGTTAACCGTATTACACTCTACAGTAAGTTTTACTGAGTGGTTTATTGTTAGTCGATGACTTGTTGTCGATCTCTGCTCGGCAGCTTCTTCTTCATTTTCTTTTTGCCCACTTAATCCGTGACGCGACGATACGCTGACTGACGAATGATAGAAATATAAACTCGAAAGACTCCCCGACATCTGAGAATTAACACGGCTCGTTACAGTCTCACGATTTTATAACGAATGCATGATGAACAAAACTTACATCATGACTTATGCACGATCTCAAGTATACAAATAGTAACTTAATTAACATAGAGCATCATATCTATTTATCTGAGGCAGTAGATATACAAAGTATATAACACATTCATTATATAATATATTTATTATTGGAGTCAAAGCTAATCGTGTGCCGTAATATATTTACGTCAGATAAATTTGAACATGGTCGCTAAATTAGGGGGATAATTAGTTTCCCAATCCAGCTGGGTATTTTTAGTTAATAGCTCATTTTTACCCTTATTCGAAAATACGCCCTCGCGTGACATAGCAATTATGATGAAGCGCATCGACACGATGATGCGGTGGAGGCGAAGTGCAGAGTTCACGATAGGACAGTTCACGTTAGCGAGAACTAGGTTGCGTGGCAACCGACGCCCACGGGGCGCCACGCGCCTCCAATGTAGGTATTTACGCGAGTGGGGTGGCTAGCGTTCCTGTTATACCGCACCTCATCGTAGGCGGATTCGGTGGATCAACGAGAGAGATTGTGTGTCGGGTTCCATGCGGAAAAAGCATGGGAAAACAATTACACAATTAGTGAGCACCGTTACCGGCATTTCTGTAACAATCAACTCGTGCATATCGATTACGATATTAATTTATTATATATGTATATAATTAAATTTATACATTGGACACACGCGCTGTGTTCTTGTTTTATTTTTTTTCTGAAAAGTAAAAACGGATAATTAGATAAAGGCTAGAAACGATTGTTTGGAGTAACCATTTTTTTTTTTCAATCTAATTGATTATTCGGGAGCAAATAATTATTCATAATTAACAATATAAAAAGTGAGAAGATGTTTTGATTCGTCTTTTGTTGTAATCGGTGTCTTCGATAATGCATTCGTAAATTCCAGTCGTATTCGTATCTAAATATTATACTTACCAAGGCTGTGTAAAAGTTCAAGGATCATCAAAAAAAGATATGAACACCAGGACAGCTCAAATGAATATATGGCATGATCACAGAATCGCACAAGTTACATAAATAAGAATTTTTTTAATTCGGTAATACAATTTATTTGTAAAGATATATTTTTTTAAATATACAAAATTCAAGCGCTATCTGATTATTGATACTTGATTGATTATATTAGTTTAGGAGCAATCATAATTGCCTAAAGTCGTTTTTGTTCCTCACGCATTAATATTAATTTTAGAAGTTATTATTAAATACATAAGTGATAATTTAAATTGGAATTTTATTGTGCTTATATATGGAGAAAATAAATAAGAATAAATCGGATATATTTTTGGATGGAGACGAATTTTGAATATTTTGATAGATAGAACAAGAGAGAGATCTCAGATTTTTTTTTATGGAAGAATCGGAAGGCTGTGGGATTAAAGATAAATAAGAAGACAATATTTTTTTATGTATAATTCACCAGACAATGTTTATTCAGACGACCTCACAACTCCCAAGCGTACAAAATGACGTGCTCACTGGGCAATATGCGGGGCTGCATTTCTTGCATGTAGTAGAGTACATTTTATCCATATTTTTCGTTTTTTCCACCAGAAACAACAGCTGTGTTTGTATTCTTCTTAATGGATAGGGAAATATATCATATACTTTATGTATCGTTTACTATAATAATTATGTGTAGTTTATGCATAACAAGTATTACGAATATCAACGCTAGGTTGTCTGCGGGGGAGGGGGGAGGAGGACAAGAATAAGTGTTCGCTCAGTGTGCATATATGTTGCTGTCATGTGTAAATGTATCCATCTTATGTTGTGTATGCGTGTTTTTGTATGGACAGAAGGATTCTACGAAGATTCGCTTGGACAAACGGGTGGATGTGATACATGCGACACGGCGAAGGAAATGCATTCTCTCTTTAGATATAATAAATATAGAGGCCTCTAAGCTGGGGAAGGGATGGGTGTTTAGGAATACAACTGGCTAGGCTATATTTCTAGCCGGAAGATTGAATGTGCTTTTAATACCCCATTCCTCGACGAGTAGATTCCCTTTAATCCGACCGAACTGTTCATTGCAGCTCTATTTAAATCGTTAATTTGAGAACCGAACTAATACGAAACTCAAAATGAACGTGGTTAAAGTGGGCTCCTTCTAGATCGAATCAAGAGAATCTAGTCCATCTTGAAAGGAGGCATAAGTGTGTTTTTCTACAACTGTTTCAAGATCGGTTTACTCGCTCGCAACTCAGCGTGTTGTGAATGTATGCGTATTCGATGCGATGTTCATGCTGAAACTGGGATATGCTGGGTGATTAAAGGGAAGGGGGCGGGGCGGGCGTCTCAACAACACGTCGGCGGCGGCCCACCGCGTATCTTCTAACTTTTCCTCACGATTTTTTTTTTCGAAGCAGAAGAGGTTCACTCGCGCCTACCAGCACATAGCCTTACAAATCTACTATTTACATTGCGTTTCGAAGTTCTACTCGGAACTCCGTTTTGCTCGAGCGCTCCGCGGCTCTTCTCTTTCTCCTTCTTCCCCTTTCTATCTATCTCTTCCTTTTCTCACTCACTACCTTTTCCTCGCTTTCTCTTTCGCAATCCCGTCTCGATCTATCTAATCTGACTTTCATGCATGCACACACAACACATAATATTGTATAACGCGTTTAAGCGGGCCTACGATACCTATCTCGCTATACGACGCGATTAGAGGATACAATTACTTCTCGCGTCGTCTTCCCGACGAAGAGACACGACATGTAATATAAAGGTACGGTAATTGCAAACTGGTGGCCGCGGCGGGCCGATCAGTCTCATAACAAAACGCTTAATTCTTTAAGATCGCGTACGCGATCTTCATTCTCGGTTGCCACCGCGATCAAGAAGCTTTTCGATTTGCCCCGATTCATTTGCACAAGCACGCTCATCCGTCATTCATTCTCTCTTTCCCCATTCATTCTGTATGTCTGCCTCTCATCATTCATGCAAGAGTATCATACGCATCTTTTTCTACACGTACACGAAATGATAATTTTTTACGGTTATGATACCTTACACATATTACAATAATATTAATTAGTTTTATAATATTTAATAATTATAGTAGAGTAGATGATCAATGAATGAGGTGGAGACTGTACAGAATGCGCGATTTCCATGATTATCACATGTAGATAGATTATTAATTTCTGTAACACTCAACCTTTCTTTTTTCCATCGCAGATACTCTATCTTCTAGATATACACCTAGAGTAGATAGGTTTTAGGTAGGTAGACAGGTAGATAGGTGGTTTTAGGTGGATAGGTGGCTCTCCTACACAGCACTGTTGCTTTCGTCGAATCGGCACTTTTATACAAGTGTCCGTTCATCGTCATTTCGCGCACTCGAAAAAAACAACTCGCCACAGAATGTCTGTCTTCCTCGTGATTATACACGGAGATGTACCCTGTCCATTCCTCCGTAACCTCCACCTCCTTTTTTCGCGTGATTTTAGCGATAAGTAGTTTAAATTAATAAATTATTTGGTTTGTCACGCGCTCAGAGCGTCCTGGCACTTTCGTTTCTAGTTAAGAGCCGGGGAAGGTTGTATCGCGTCGCGACGAGTTTCCACCGGTTGATGATTAATGGATCAAACATCCCGGTTTCGCGCGCGCGCACGTCAGTGCATGTTACGGGAAATCACTCGAGCTCGCGAGAACACTACGCTTCGAGAGAGAGGGCCTTGCAGGGTCCAACAAGCGGTCTGGGTGATGGTGATGGCGATGGTGACTTCTTGGACAAGTTCAGCGGTTGCTGACTGTCCGCGATATCAACCTGCAGCTCCATCATGTTCGGACAGCCCGATAACACCGATAACGTAGCCGCCGTACTCGACGTTGGTCTTGGACTCGTGCTCGTACTACTAGTTGCTGCCGCGGAAAGGTACCGCGGAGACGAAGCTGGAGAGTTGACAACAGCGAGATAGTCCGAGGAAGACTGCTGTTGCTGCTGTTGTCGCGCACCTGTTGTCGTCGTGATCACCGAGGTGGCCGGCCATCTGTTCGAATAACTCGTGGTAGCGCATTGCAGGAGACCTTGAGATCCTTGCGTTGAACGTGCAGTTATGGTAGTTGTCGATGCGCATTGTTCCGCGGGTGAAGGCGATGCTGTTGGAGATCTGGGACTAGCCTCGCCCCGCATTATATAGTTATGTATGATGTCTGTACGCTTCAGTTGCTCTGCTGTCATCCGCGGGCCCTCCATCAGACTTCTCGCGAGAGTGGAATGCGTGCTGCTGAGCAAACTCGCGGTTTGCGGGCACTGGGATTGTGTCGTTTGAGTGGGCGGACTGCGCGCTGGTGGCGAAGTTAAGTGCAGATGCAATTGAGACTGCGTGTGCTGAACTATTACGGCCGGCTCAGCCTCGGCACTATCCTTCTGGCGCAAAGCGCGGAACTTTTTGTGGGGCTTGTAAGCTTCGTCCATCAGTGAATTGGTATCATACAAAGGTGGTGCCTGAAGCACACGTTTCAGCACCGGCATGTCCTCGACTTCCTTGTCCTCTGAGCGTGGACTCGAGCACACAGATGTAGGAGCGCTGCTGGCACTGCTGCTGGCCGGTTTGTCAGGTTTCTCGGTACCAGACTCAATTCCGCTATCACTTGGCGAATCCAATTTACGAAAACTGCGACACTGTGGCGGCTGTGGAGTCTTCGATATAGTAGAACGATGAAGTTCGTCATCGCCGGAACTAGTACTGCCAGAATTCGCACGTCGTCTATGCGGACAGAGTCCACCGGCTAGGGTAGCAGCTAGAAGAGGCGCGCTCGACGCATGGTGACCACTGGCTGGTGCTACAGGGTGATATTCCGTCAAGGAGGCAACTTCGCCGCTGCAGGTGCTTTCGGTGCTCGACACGCTACCCAGTGGACTCTTTACTGCTTCGTCTAAAGTTACATCTGAAGCAGATCCCCAAGAAGCCGGAGGTTCTTCTTCCATTGGCCAATGTGCCTGTTGTTGAGGAGTTATGACATGTTGTGTTTGTTGTTGCTGTTGATGTTGTTGCTGAGCTTGCAATTGCTGTTGCTGCTCAGTCATTTTGAAAGCCAGCAACTTTTCAGAGTGGAGGGTGTTCAGAGTTTTTAGGTCGGGTATTTTTTTTAATAGTTCGCGGAGTATATCAGGATGCTGGGGATGGTTCTGTGCTAGTACTGTCTGTAAAGCGTTTCGAAGTTTATTGTGCATACGTTCGACCAGCTCGGTATTGCGAAGCCCAGGTCTGTCGGCGGCGATCACCACAACCGAACAGAATAGTCCCAATTCAGCGTCGGATAATCGCAAGGAATTGACTCTCTCCGCGAAGTCGAACATCGAGTCCATTAGGAATCGCGCATTACTGCTATTATGGATGGACTCCCGTTTGAGCACTTGGCCATTTAAGCAGATCATACTGTTCGTTTGACCATCGAACATGCAGGCCAGTCTTACGAGCAGCACCTCGAAAACGCCAGCCTTCAATAAAGTGACCTGGTCGTCCTGTGCCAGTAGGTTGAATCCAGGTATGCGCTTCGCAAATTCCACGACACCGCGTATGGCCGGCGAGAACCTTTTGGAGAAGTCTTGTAGTAACTCTTGCTGCCCGGTCAATGGTTGCGGATTAGGATTCAAGGGGCATGCCTGTAACAGAAAGAACCGAATTCCAAGGTCAGGAGGCAATGAATCGTTAAATCATGCTGAAGGTCGCCTGTATCGTTACTGATACTCGGAAGAGCATACCAGGCGTCCTCGCGTGGCGGGACGAGAAGAAGCGAAACATTTACACGCTCTTGTCGGGTCTCGCTTCCTCCTTCACCGAGGTCGCCTGGTTCTCGCATTATTTCCGCGTAGAACGCTTGAAAGATCAAGACGGCCCAAGGCCCACGTAGTTATTATTGACGTCAGCGTACACGCCGACCGCTCAAATCTCAAAGCGAAACGAATGGCTTGCGTAACTCGCGTCAATGTCAAGAGGAAAGGTCGAGCTTGTTTACCAAGGTTGGTGGACATGCAGTGTAGTTGGGAGTCTCGCGGGCTCTGGCGAGGATTGGGGCCACTTTGTCCCTGGTGAAGTCGCATGTGTCGATATGGGCTCGCACTACGGTTGTGAGCAGACGTTGTTCATCCTCCAGCTCGGCCGCTACCGCCTTTTCTTGAGAACGGCTATGGGAGCTCTGCTGCATAGCAGCCAAAATCCTGGCCTTCTCACGCTTAGGCACGCGGCCGAATCGTACCGCTGTAATCAAAAACAGGCAAAATCAAAGGGTTAGATGTATGTTGATTTGAAGCTCGTACGTCGCACGAAAAAGGAAGGACGACGATAAATAGTTAATGCGATCAATGGGTGAATCATGCAACGGACCCGACCGCTATCGCGAGATGACCTTCGCATAAACGAATGTCGGCACTCGCGTGATGTTCGTATAAGTCATATGAGAGAGTCGAAAGAAACGCGACTCTCGATCACGGTAAAACCGACGGCCATTCAAAGCGTGAGTACCGTCGCACCAGATATGGTTTCGCGCCAAAGGTGAAAAAAAGTCAGAGGGGAAAGCGCACGACTTTCTCGCGGGAGAGATGAAAGTGCCGCGCGCTCACGCGCGCAGAAGCGCTGCTACTCCACAGTGCTACGCGTTATACGAATCTTCAATTAGAAAGTACGGTAAATGTTCTATCGAAACCACTCTAATGTCGGTATTGTTATCATTGTTAAAAGGACACCTACGTGCATTGTGATAGTTGACTACTCCGTTGAGGATTCCTTTCAGAATTGGTAACTCGTCTCCCATGACGGTTCAGGGAAACGCACCACGTTAAATCTCGGAACAATTTTTGATTTTATCGCACTTTCACGCACGTGGTTGACTTCTCTATCAGCACCAGATCACCTACCGCCTGACACCGCGGTTGCCACTCTGTACGCGAGGACTCCTTGACTTTAAGATTGCGTGTTCTTGACTGATAAGCCACGAACGATCCCTCTCGGCTGACTCGCGGGTCGCGGGTCACTCCAAGCGATCGCACAGCGCGAAATAGCGCGTGGCTGCGTCGGAGAGGTTTGCCGCTCAGAGTTTGAAAAACGGGCGCGACTGCAGTACGCGTGCAAACACGAGACAGCATCACCGCCGACTGAGTGATGTTCCGCGGTTGCGTTCAACAGCCCCTCCACTTATTCAACCATCAACGACCCCCACCATCGCGCGCGAATGTGGCCTTTGCCGAGCCTTTGGCCTTGAACTTGGTTTCAGCGACAGCCGCACGAGGCGTACCGCCGACCTATATACACACTATATAACGAGCAAATATACGACGCGTCAAGCCGTAGCACCCGGCGCAAAGAGTGAGAGAGATAGTTAAATTTCTCTATGCGCAGATGCGAATTTCCTTTGTCGGGGGTAACTTACCCTCGACGACCTTGTGCAACCCCTTGCTAGCTACCTGCTCTGTCACCAGCTGTCGATAGTCAGCTTTATCTATTTGCGGACTATCGATCTTTAATGTTAAGGACGTGCTGGTCCTATGAGCTAAAGCAAACTATTCATTTAGTTTATCATCTTGAATCTTTAGCAAACGTACAAAGTTATGTATAACTTTAGTTACGGTTAATCTAATCACGAGAGCAGTTAACGGGATATTAATGGAAGATTATATCTGATGTAGTAATATATACCATGTAAGAAAATCAAAGTATTCTACACGAAGAGTAATTGATCAGGAATCAGAAGTGCAATTTCCAACATCTCTGTTTTTCTAATTTGAAACTTATCAATTCTGCACCAAGTTCGTTTTAATTAATTTTATCTTATGATAGAAAATCTTGTCATTGAAATCGTATTTATAAAGATTTGTAATGTTCTTTATAATTATTTTTTATAACTAAGTACAATGCTATAAAAATAAAAAAAAAACGCGGTCGATCATAATAATGATGTCGACAAGTTATCCGTAGCAAGGCTTGAAGCGTTATGACCAGTTAGTCACGTACAGCTCTGGCCAGACGGTAGCCCGCGACGAGAGCATGCGCCTACCAGCTAGGTAGATTCAGATGATGTAGAAGAGGGGAGATCGATGAAGGAGAGGAACGGTATCGAGGAAGGGGAATGTAGTTAGGAAGCAAAGTTCGCGAGGTCTCCGCATGGAGTGTAGCGCCACGCGACAGCGCGCCATCGCCGTCGGTGGGGGATAGTTGCGTTCCACGACCGAAGAAGCCAAGCAAGCGACAACGATCGTTCGCCTGAAGTGGGGAATGAGAAGGACGACGACGGAGTGCGGCGACAGAGGCGCGGTAGCTGGGAAAGGAGGGTGGAAGAAGGTGGGAGGATCACCGGGGGACGTAGCGGCGAGTAGCGGTACTCTTTCTACGGACACCAAGTCACCCGCCAGACGATCAACGGCCGTCTATTGACCCCGCGAATCGCGTTGATATTGATAGTACTTTTTCGCATTGATTTTTAAGACGAAAGATCATTTTCATGTCATACGCATTTGTAGTGGATAAATCGATTATATTTTTGACTATACTCGAGCCATTATAACTATTTGAAAAATTGCACCAACGTGAATTAATCCGCAAAAATTATAAAAATATAAAATTTTATAGTTATCTAGAGAGAAACGCGTTCTAATTTTGTCGGAGGAATACGATATATATTTATATATACATATATATATATATATATATATTGGCGCCCGCGCGACATGTCGACGACCTAGGTCAATGATCTGGGTGGGAGATGCTGTGCAGCATCCCGCGCAGCTGCGATACCGATTATTCGATAAAAAGCGACCAGGATTTTATCAATTCGTCGAAAAGAAAGCAAGATCTGATTACGCCAATTGAAAGATAATCGCAGTTGCTTTCTCAAACGGCGAATTGGCCACTTTCGCCCGTTGCGACACTCCATCGTGTCGCGAGGAACGACGTTACGCAAACGGTCAATGACCCGGTAAATTAAATTTTAGAAACTCTTTTGTGGAGAATATGACGCACGAAAAAAAGAAAGAAGAAACATGCGATGCTTTACTTAATTGACGTAACAAATTTTGATCAAAAGGACACTCTGAGTATTTGCGAATATGTTTACGGGATTAGCGATATAGCGTTTCTTGAAACAAAATTATATATTCTATTACATTTTAGAATTGTTTAATTTGTTTCAACTGTTGACTAGGATTAAGGCCAAATTATTTGAGATAATCCGCAATATTTCTTTCAACTTACATCAAATTTTACTTAAAACTACAAAGTTAATTCTCATACATAAAATATTAAAAAGACTCACCATCACGACTCATGCCGACAGCGATGCACTTTTTGAGACGGCAATATTGACAACGATTTCTGTTGATTCTGAGGATGCTGCACTGTTGATTCTTGGTGCACGGACGATACTGAATCTTTTGTTGGATGCTCCGACGAAAGAAACCCTGCGAATCACCAACAAAACCTTCGTCAATCTGACCGTCACTGTCCGACGAAGACCCCGATGAGCAATCGGTCCCCGAACGCGGGGCGGCCAAGTCACATTCGCACAAGCACCCCATTAATTCACTCCAGCTGAGATAAAAATCGCACGGCGTCTAACAAACCGAACGAATACGACAAACCACCACGCGGTTTGGTGGGGTCACACGGATTAAAAGATTATCACTTGCTACGTATCCTTCAGTTCGAAACTAATGACGCTATCTAAGCTAGAGTATTCTCTGCGAAAACAGGAAATCTATCTTTGGTCGCTTGCATCGGTCACTGTCCTCACGTAATTCGCGTTCACCAAACCCGCGTGGAGTCTTTTCTCGGATACTCGGCTCCACGGTGGACGCGCGTACCTAAGTACGACGCGAGTTTCGTAGGGGAAAGAAGCGACCGTTTGTATCGAAGCTTGGCTGTGGACTGGCTCTTTCTAGCACAGAGAACATAGAGCCTCGGCACATTGCCTCTGGCGTACCGAGGTGGGGGACACTGTGACCTAATTCCCGGACGTTCACCCGCAGTTCACCGCGTGAAAGTGAGAGTCCCCCTTGCGCGGACTGGCGCTCCTCGGCCGTCTCCCTCTTTGGGTTCTCTCTTTCTCCAGTTCCCAGTTTCTCTCACTCGCACTGAAGTGAACCCTAGATGATGTCCTCTTCGTCGTATCTACTACAAGCGCTACCATAGAGGCTCGCGGGCGCTCTACTAACGGGTTTCTTCCCTCCCTCCTCCCCACCTATCAACCGGAGGAGCCACCCTCTCCGAACGACCTGCCCTACCTCCACCTCTCGGTTCCTACCCTCGCGTTGATACTCCTCTAATATCCACCTACTCCTACTCGCAAATAAGCGTGAATATACAAATGCCTTGTCTATTTATGTATCATTTTTATCTTTACTTCCTATCTCGTTAATCGTTTTGGAGCTGAAAATGAAGAAGATGAGAGTTCGGAATGAATAAAAATTGAAAAAGGGGTAGGTTATAGTATGAAGGAACTTCCCGTTGTGTATCGGTCAGCGACCTCGCGAGACGATTACGTAACGTGCAACGCGTGGGGGACCCTTCGTGAAACTTCTATATGTTTCTGTGTTCGTCATGTTGTCGTCGCTGTCGTCGTCGTCGTCGTCGTTGTCGCGTCGACGACCGCGGATATACGTCGAAGCACGTACGCATACGAAAAGTTGGCGATGCTCGTCGCCGAGTAACTCTGCCGTGACGTCAGATGCGCGACCTCGCCTACCTCAACTTCGTGCGGAGCTCATCGAGAGAACGATGTACCGTTGCACCTCCGCGCCCGGGCTGTCAATCGGCGCGAGCGTTTGATGCAAGTCAATGAACTGTCAGCGTTACCAATGTTAAGCATCGCTGCCTTCGATTTTAACCGGTTGAGTCTGATGACAAAATACGTCTTTGATCCTTCGTATAAAAGAAAGTAGCGCGTTCCAAATGTCAGATAATTTACGTAATAATCAATACAAATCAATAATAAAATTGTAAAATTAAGATTCACTTTGAAATTTAATTTATTATGATGTATCTCAAATATCGTTTTTACAATCTCGAAAATAACTCTCTGAAAATACTTTAATAATTAAATCTTTAGATTCTTTGCGAAAGATCATTGGAATTACAAGGAAATGCTATCTAGCCACGAATTATCATCGTGCCCGGACGAAGCCAGCAACCCCTGTTGAACCTCTCGGTCGACGGGAATCCACCGAGCAAAGGGTGAAGGAGGTGTGTGGGGGAATGCGGTGCATCGATCTCTCGAACCGTGCATGGCCCGTGACGGGTCAGGGGGCGACCACCTTCGCGCGTTACCTCAAGTTACGAATGTTCCTTTGCGCACGCGTCTTATTCTCAAAATCTTTATAAGAGGCTAGAGAATGGTATAATACTTTATCTAATACTAAAAATAATTTCAGATCTCATTTTAATTTGTGCGCAAACTCGATACAGATATACTTTTAAATACTAATAACAGAAATGTTCCCTTTACTTAACAATCGCTACAGCGAGCACTGAATTCAACAATAGTTTCAGGAAAAATGCGTTGAGAGGAGAATCAAATAAAACTTTCGCCGAGTCGAGAAAGTTCTGTTATTCTCTGTTCTCAATTCCGCAACAAGAAAAAAATCTCATTTCCGCAAGACCTTATTAACCGAGAAATTAATTACTGCTAAAGAGTAGACTACATTATGTTTAAAAGAATTGTATGAAAAATGCATTAATTTTTGATACTAGAATTAAAATACTTAATAAAGTAACGCTGTACGGTATAATGTACGATGTATGTAAAAATTGATATCGTAGATTTTCTTGATTCCACTCTGGGATGGAATCGCGCGGAGATTATCTCGACGATTTAGTGGAACCGTCGTTGTCCGGCCGACGGCCGTTCAAGTTCCAATTTTATTTTCCGTAGAAGTGCAGCGACGACACTAGTAGCTGGCAGAAGAGACGTTGGTCGGTGACGGTGGTACGGGGTTGTATAAGCGTTACACGCTTGCATATACGTGCACATATATAAGTGAAGAGAGTGTGGGATATACACACGATGTGGTCGCGGGGCCAACGACCGGAGCGCGCGACTGCTGCAACGAATAGGGGAGAGGAGGGAAAAGGGGGATGGCGATCTGTCTGAGGGACGGTAGGGGAAGGTGAGCGTATCTGCTACCGAAGAGTGGGGGTGTGAGGTACCATAGTAAAAGTAGGAGGTTTGATGCCAAAGAGGGAGAGAGGAGGACGCGAAACGGAGTAACGGTGACGTACGTAACACGCGCGTGTGCGCGTGCGCGCCGCTCCAACAGTCGCGACACTCTCCGCTCTGCTTGGGGGCATTAACCGCTCGCTCGTTCGCTAGCTCGTTCTAGCACTCTCCTACGACCCCAAGAATTTGCCGTTCCGTTCTGTTGCCCGGGCATCGATATCGGTAAAGTCGATCGCAGAGGTCAGAGATGGTTGCTCCCGTGCGCACACAGTTTTGTACCCTACTGATACTACGGAACGATATAACGGCGATTTAGTTATAATATCAGGTATCGCGATTTTGATTGGTCTTACGTAAATGAGAGACTTGTTAAATCATTGTGCGTTCATATATTAGTATTCATGAATCCTAATAAAAAATCATGTTGACATTCACTTCCCTGCGTGAAATGGGTCTATAAATGATTAAAAATTTGTTTAACTGTTTTTTTTTCTGGAAATGCTTGTTTAAATCAATACCGTTGTCAATCAATTATTATTAATTTGCACAACGGGATTTACCCTTGTGAATTTCGTATCCTTTCAGAAGTCATAATGCTCGCTAACGCACGTATACAAGCGACAGGAGTGATCCATTATACTGTTCGCTGATGATATCGTGTTTCGCGGGACGAATTTATCGAGTGTAAAAATTGCGGCGGTCCGATTTCGCCCTGCGGGGAAGCGTTATCTCGAAGAGCTCCCGCTTCGGTGGACAAATACCACGTCGAGCGAACACCTACCACGATAATAAGCGGCTGACCCGATTCTAAAGTAGATGCACCGGGGTCGGTAACCTCAAGCGAGCACCGAAATACTCGCGCAATCAAATGAAAATGAGATCGCGACTCGTTACGACGTCAAAAATGACGGTTATCCGAGAGAGGAGGGGAGAGTGGGGGGGGAAGGCTTCCCTACGGGAAGAGGGTGTGCGGTGAGGGCACGAGGGAGGAGGAGGAGGAGAGGGAGGAGGAAGAGGGAGAGTGACGTAACTGGCTCGGAGGGTCGACGACCGGAGGGTTAATGCTCCGGTCGCCTGATTTCAACCCTCCGGAAAAAGCACCGACGTGCACCTCCACCGATTGTTTTGTATCACGAAGATTTAAAGAGGAGCTTCATATTACTAAAAAGTTTCATTCGTTTCCTAAATAATAATTTTTAATGCCTTCGAGAAAATTAATCGCGCAAGAGTTTTAACTTTTCGTTTCAGAATTCCAATTGGTTTGCTAGAATTTTATACATTAAATTTTAGTTTTTATATTTTTCTATGATAAAAATTTTTTTAATTATAAACTCGAATCCAACGATAATATAGGATTGAAAGATGTTTAATCAGATCAAGCTATGTTTACAAGTTAACTATAGCACGTTATATTAATGAAAACTCTGCCGTAGAAATTATATTTATTTAACAAATCTAATTCGCTGCGATATGTACCGTTATGATGGCAAGAGTAGAGCGATAATAGCGCCATTCGACTATTCTCGAACTGCAATCGATTTAACTCAAATTGATCTAAAATATTCAAAATACGTCTTCTATTTTATTCTGCTGTATGATCCTTTAATAAATTGAGATGCTTTATTTCTCAATAAATTAGAAGAGGTTGAAATACTCGGTACTGTTATTACTGCTTTTAAGTTGATTTATTTCATATTTATATTAAAAGAAGGTTTAGATATATTTGGTTCTTAAATCTTGACAGTTCAAAATTTCAAATTCTTTGTCTTTTGTCTATTTCTGAAATATTTCCGAATCTATTAAATAATAATACAAAGTGTGTGTGTGTGTGTGTGTGTGTGTGTATATATATATATGTATAAGAATATCGTACTGGCTTTCTTGACAGTCATATGACGTTTTACATGTTGCGTCAGTAAGTTTTTTCTTCTGTGACGAAATTAATATTTCAGTAGTGCAATCTATGATGCGAAGAGAAAAGTAGCGTTCTGATGACAGTAGAGCGAAATAGTGCAACTGTGTAGTGGTGTGACCGAGCGACCTAGTCTTAAAGATATCCAACACTCTTCCGCGTTCTCTTCCCTTTCCACAAGCCCCTCTTCCAGTACTTTAAGACGCTCTACCGCTAGCGGCTAGGTCACTCGGTGGAGACTCGTTCGGCTTAGTGCCTCTTACGGCGCTGCGGCTATAAGTACTGACCTAGTCAACCAGTCGGGGACCATGACTCTCTGTCCGAACGATTAGTCTCTTCAGTGAATTTCAACCGTCGGAACGACGTTACAAAAAAACAGGAAGATGACATTACAGAAGATGTAGGCGAAGAAAAATTTTTAATCAGGTGTTTCATATAGAATGTGGTCGATGTAGGTCTTTTTTCTATGCCTACAATAGAGGCAATGAAAGCAGATGTACCTGCTGATGTGCTCTTGGTCGACGAATACTTTCGCTTCCCTACGGTAATCGTCATCTTGCTTTTTCGATAGGCCCTAACTCTCTCTTTCATTTCTTCTCTTTTAGGTTCACCCCTGGTTTCTTTCCGGTGGGATGTTTTTTGACAGCTCGGTTCGATTATTTCAATGAAAGAGACCACCAGAACAAATTGTCATATTATTATGAAACGTTTTCAAAGAAATGTATTTGAGCAGTGTATATTTCTAAGAACGTTTGTTCAAAACATTTCTTGGATAAACGTACTATAATTTCTTAGTAGATATAATTCCTTTTTGCAAAACTATAATAAATAAAGATTAGCAAAGTTTATCGAAATATTTAAATCTCTTAATCATTGATTCATATTTGTATGTATAACATATTACCAAAAAGTTCTTTCATTAAATTCAAAAAGAGAGGAAGTCCTTCTATCAACAAATTTTCTAATGACCGATTTCTTCACCTCTAGATAAGTTGCCAACAACTTTATTTTTTATAAAATATATATATATACTTATACAAAATATTTCCTATTTGAATACAATCGTCACACAGGTTATGTTATTTATATCTTTTATGGTCAATTTCTTCATCTCTAGGTAACTTTATTCGTAAGATATCTGGGAAATAATTCATGAATAAAATTATCTAGGGATGAAGAAATTGACCATAAAAGATATAAATAACATAATCCTTGTGATAATTGTATTCAAATAGAAATCCTGTAAAAGTATATATATTTTATAAAAAGAATTAATAACGTGAAACACGAGATTAGAAGAAAGACGATGCACGTCGTGCACGAAGTTGTTGCACGAGTGGTCTAAGTTGATCTACGAGCATGAACGATGCGCGGTACCTGGTAGCGTGACCACCTCCACTACATCGCGCGGTTATGGAGGTGGTAAAACTGGCGGTGGGTAGTGGCGCCATTCCTTCACTTCCTAAAACGCATCGATAGCCGGTGCTGACCCTACTATCCGCTTCCGGCCAAGTCGACGCATACAAGCGAAACAAAAGACGCCGATCTAGTTATAATTTAGACAACTCGGAAAGTTTCTCGTGACGAAAAAAAATTCGATATTTCTTAACATCTCTACATTAAGAAGACAATTAAATTGCAAAGTAATTTAGTTTGAATAATATTTTAAAATTTTCTTTGACCATTGAATTTTAGTTGACAAGGTTTGACTTGAACATTAGTCAAAATTCAAAGAATCACAAATTGACGAAAAACTCTCAAAGAATTATATACCTGCTTTGAACCTTTTTTAAAATTCTGTTGAAACGGAAATACTTTAGTGGTAAAAAATCTGTCATATTTTCTAACTGTATTTTTTTTTTCTACCGAACATAATTTTAAACGGCACAAAGACGGAATCCATTAGAATATATTGAACGATTAGGATCTATTGATTGATGCTTGTAACTATGATGCATTTATCATTTTATTAACCGTTAAAAAATATGTGTACAATTATGACGATGGCCCTGGCAATAAATTAAAAGAGTAAATTGAAAAAGGCCTTCACGAGATCCTCTGCCGATATAGAGGAACTGCCGGGTCGTGAAATAACTTCAAGGACCACCTCAAATCTCTTATAATTTCCGCGTGACCAAGGTTCCTCCGCGTGGTCGACAACTTCTATGTAGCCTTGGTCTCACATCACGCATTTACATTCACATACATTCACTCTGATCGCACCGCACAGCACCGCGCATTTGCAATTTCGATATTCTTAGATAGAAGACGCTATAACGCATCTATAATTTTAAAATCTATAGATTCTTGAAATAATTTGAAGTTAATCTTATGAGAATTCGACTATATTTTCGTTTCTATAATTTTATCATTTTTTAACATTGTAAGTATAAACTTTATAAAATTATTTTTAATTCTTACTTTTTCGATTATATATATGAATTAATCGATGTTTACAATAAAGTAAGTTCAGTTCTCTCGACAAAACTGGAACGAATTTACATATCGAAATCGCTTGGCGTGAAAACACATGGCATTTCCGATTGCTCATACGAGATTAGATTTCGTCAGCGTTCGATTTAAAAATCCGCACAAAGGATTGTAACGTAAGACTTGGAAGAGACGATAGCCAAAGGAATCGGATCACTATGTAATTGACAACTGATCTGTCGCGGTACTCACCTTGCATCCCTCGCAGGAGTGAACTCCATAATGAAAACCGGATGCCTTGTCACCGCAGACCCGGCATAACACGGTGGTCCCGTCGAATTCTGAAACAAACGAGAGAAGCGCATTCCATTAATGCAGATCGTAACGATATCCTCTCCTCTCGCGCTGCGCGAGAGAAAGGTGGGAGGGAAAGAAGAACACTTTCTCCTCTCTCGCGCGTGTAGCGGGTTACAGCATCGCGCTGCATTACAACTTTCTGCTTTCACCCACTGTCGTGGTATCGCAGTCCTACCCGTTTTATATTCGTACGCCAATCGTCAATTATATTATTCGTTATGATCTCGGCATTGTAAAAGAAACACGCGTACCTATGTTAAGTTCAGGCTCGGGTTTAGCGGAAGAAACAGTCGAATCCATCGTCGGCATATTAGGACTAAGATGATGATCTGCTAACTGCATCACGTGATATGGACTAGACATGCCTCGACTGGGTACACGCGGCACGGTGGACGCGCGAGAATCGTGCGAGGATACGTTGGGAATCAGCAATTCAGGTGCGGGTGATGTGACCAGCGTGTCCTGCGCACTACTGTCTGGAGTAAGAATCATGTTTGTTCGGGAGGGTTTCTGCTATTAACGCTCTCCTTCCCGACGGAAATAACATTCGTTTATTCACAACACTGCACTGAGAAAAAAAATTGCAAAGTTCACATATTGTTTATGTTATTACATTACATTACTGTTCACACAGGTTTACGATACTGTTCCACTTGTTCTCATCTCGCTCTCACTGTCACTACGCTCACTTACCAATCACTAAATATTGATTTGCATGCACGCGCGCGAACGTCCACGTGCGACTCTTGTTCAAGAACTCGGCGAATATCGAAGCACGCAAATAATCGGCGCGATTTGCGACTGTGCAGAGGTTACGGCCAGACGTTACAGCGAAGCTCGCGACAGACGACGGATTGGAAGCGGAGCTGAGCGCGAGAGGATGGTAGCCTGAAGAGAGAGTGAAAGTAAGTCTTCGCTCGAGGGAGGTTCGCGTTGGTCTGACTCTTGTTCGGCGCTGCCGAGTGTTGGTTACCTGGGGGCCGTGCAGCCCTTACTCTGAGTAAGTCGGAGGTGGAGGGGAGGGATTGATGTGCCTGCTCGGCTGCCACGCTATCAGGCTACCTCGACCATCTACAATGTCTACGCCCTGGCTACCTAGTATGTAGTAGAGGACACTCAACACATTGCTCCGTAAGCTCTCTTACAGGGCCCCCCGAGAGAGTTCATCGTATTTTCAATGTTGGAGGTCACTGACAAGTCGTTACGGGCCCGTCGCAGTGTGCCGTGCTGTCGCCGCCGTGACGGGCCCGACCAATCGGCCGTCAGCTCGGCGGGCCCTCAGTCGCACGATTGGTCCGACTCTTCCCTACCACGTCTACCACAACCGGCCGGCGAAGTCTCCTTCCTCCCGTTGGAGGAAGTTCATCGGCCGAAACCTTGACTGAATTACCCCGCAGCAGCGGCCAAGGCCATGCGCCCTCTCGCTCGAGCTAACCGCGAATGTAGTGATTGTCGCATTGCTTCTCTTTCTCTTTCCCCCCTCTCTCGTTCTTTCTCTTTCTCTTCCTCTTGCTGTCTTCTTGTCTTTCTTCTTATGTCTCTTTCCCTTTTTATATTTCTCTCTCTCTCTCTCTCTCTCTCTCTCTCTCTCCCTCTCTCTCTCTCCCCCTCTCCCCCTCTCCCCCCCTCCCCCCCCTCTCTCTCTCTCTCTCTCTCTCTCTCTCTCTCTCTCTCTCTCTCTCTCTCTCTCTCCCTCCCTCTCTCTCCTCTTGCTCGCTCTTTCCTCTCTATATTGCGTTCTTTCCCTCTGCTCTTTCCTTCTATCCTCTCTTTCTTCTTCATCAATATACTATATAAGACTATTCTCTCTCTTCTTTTTGTGGAATATGCCGCTTTGTTTCTTCGTAATATGTCTTATTCTCGCGGAAAATGTTGATTCTCGCGCGAAGGTTTGCACTATAACTTTTATTATTGTCTTGTCAATTCAAAAGATTGTTCGTAACGATTTTCGGCAATATTTATTGCAAAATGTAATTTCATTTTAAAAATGATCAAGATATTTCATATTCATGAACGAAACACTGATAGCCACGTGTATGTTTGTGCGAAAAATGTGATGACGATTCGACGTATCTGCTGAATCGGCTGATACGAGAGATCAAGTTAGTGTCGGTATTTTAACATTATAAATTACACTCAGTGTCCCGATCGTATTCTCGTGACTGTTTATCGGTTTTCTTACGTTGTTTCGAATTACTGCTGATGGAACCGAATCCGATATTAAACTAATTATCAAATCTCTTGGAGTATGCAACAAGAGTGGAAGAATTTCGTGTAAATATTGAATAAACAGCTAATGTATTTTTTTACTAAATCTGCAAATAAACAATTCTTTTAAATCGAACGTTAAATATTTTGATTATTAAACTTTAAATCAAATTATTATTAGCAAATTATTACAAGTTATTATTAATCCAAGTAAAATTTATTACGAATTGCTTTTTCATCGGCATGTTATTTCGACTAACCTTTCATGATCCGATTTTTTCACTGCTTTCCTAGTTCAACCGAATCACTTTTACCTGATTGTGCTTTTTAAAGAGTTTTTGTGCCCTAAAAAAATTGTAAACATACGATTTTACAGTGATACGACCTGAAACATTTTTTGCTTTTTTTGCCCGAGACAGAATATTTGGGGACTTCAAATCCTCAATGGAAGGTTAATAATGTGCAAAAAAATATGGAGAGAGATAAAGTTACTCGTAATGATCCTGTTATTTATATACATGTACATATATATATTTTGTGTGTGTGTTGTGTAATATAAAATCATCATAAAAGATAAATTACTGCGTACTTTCAATGATGAAATATGTTAGCTTCCGTACTTGAGAATTCTTATCTGTTTGCGCCTACACTGGAGAAAGTTAATATTTAAACGTTTATAAAGCAATAAAGTTTATAAAATGAAAATAAACATTGATATTTATGAAGATATGTTTTACGATGTGTTTCATTAGAATCAACAGTTAAGTTCCAAAGGATCTGGCGTAAGTAAAAAATTATATGGTACGCCACTGATTTTCTCATTACAATCAATTCGAGGTAGTTTTTTTTTTTTTAGAATAATTTACTCTTTAACATGTTTGGAAAATCCAAAATTGCCCATTATAAAAAATCTATGTAGAAAATATCTTTCTAGCTCATTTACGAAATCTAATCAGTCATATTATTAAATATTTGAGAATAGTTAATTATGTGCGAACGTTTTATAACCGCGCTTTCAATCATAATAATTGTACAACAATTTACTATTATGTTGCGATATTTATAAAGTTATAAAACAAAAATAAAAGTACGTAATTTTTAAATAACTATTGTACATCTACTACAACAATTTCTTGATTCTATTATATTTCCCGTAAATCGCTTCAGAAGAGAGAGAAGAGTTCTTCAAATTAATCAATATTTATATTAACTACAAAATCGCGTCTCCCTGAAATAGATTTATGCGCCAAGTTCGCCAAAACATTTCTTCACGCTCTCTTACTCGGCTACGAACTCGGACAGACCTCGAACGTAATGGCCGCGACGTCGGAGGTCAGACGATGGCGTTTCCTTGAAATCGGGTAGCGACCTGCAGCTACGTACATTTATATGCAATGAACATACCATGATCCTACTATCTATTTTTAATAGATTATAATGTAAAGCTATTACGCGTACAACAAACATCGCATCAAAGATTACATTTTTAGACGTAAAGTGAATTTAGAGAAATGAATAGAATATATTTTATTTTTACTAACAACATTCATAGAACGTCAAAATAATAGTGTAATTTCTTCGGAGTGTATACTTATGATTACTCACGTGTGATGGTCAGCGATCTTTATGAAAAAAAACAATTATGTACGATGAATACATTTTACGACGTCGCGCTGAAAGAATATCAATTGTGTCGTATCTATGTATAAATTCATAGCCGTGTTGCTTCACTTTGCCTAATTATCGTACTTGAATTACATGACTTTCCGCCTTCGCGTACAGTTGATGAGTACGTTTTAGCAATTATGTAAATGGGATCATGGGTGTTTGCATTACATCGAGACGTTCATGATTCTTTCTTCTCGCTATAATAGAATAGTAACGAGCAACGATGCATGCAGGAAAGAGAGAGAGAAGCGCAGATAAAAATGTAACAAGCAGGAACATAATTAGAGGTTGCTTCCTCGCGGCAACCAAGACTGCATTGTCTACCGTCCGTGTCCTTGGCACTGAGCGACCGGTCGCCGACTTCGCTTTACTGCTTTCAAGACTTTTAGCTTCTTATCGGTTTCGTTATTCTACGATCACGATACATCAAATGGCACTATTTATATCTTTGCAGTTTGAAAAAATTATCCAAGTATGTTTCAAAAGCAAAAATATGCATCTTAATGAATTAAAAAAAAATATATTATATATATGCATAAATTTATTAGCTTTTATCTTATATAATATAGGCATGCGCTCGCGCGCGTGTGTAATTCCATTACACGAGATATATAACTCGTAACTTTATGCACATCTATTTTTAAATTCATGATTATATACAAGTATGTGTGTGTGTGTGTATAAGAAGGAAATAGTTTTCGATGGCCGTTGCACTGATCGCGAATACTCGTGGGTTAACGGCGAGCATGGTTGCGGATATATAGGCTTGGTGCATCAGCATGGGCGCCGATCGTCGCGTATATGTCGTACCGCTGAAGCGCTGAGTAATATGGCGATACTTCCGCAGTGGGCGCTATGGGGCAGACTATGGGCATAACGGTGCGCACAGCGCGTCACGCATATGCGTGCGTGATGTCACTGAACCTGGAGCAACAGCAGCAACAGCAACAGCGGGTGCATGTATCATACAATCCGCAAGAATACCACGCGACTGTTCTATTTCGTTACTTATGCTTCACTGAACTGGATTCTGCGTTGCACGTGCTTCATTAATTTTTGCCATGCGCGTTCTTAAGACTGTGTAACGGGTAAGATGATTGCAAAACTCGCGGGGATAGCAGTTAGATTACTATTAACGCACGCTTACCGCTCCAAGATATCACTGATTGGAAGGGAAGACGCTCGATGTTTTATGTTCGCGTTCGCGAAAATACTTAAAGATTGAGCGCAATCTATCTGCCCCGCATTCGGAAATATACCATAAAATCTATTTAATGAAATGTCCGTGCTTCCTCGATTACGAACGTCGAGGGGCCAATTGTCCTAAAAAGAAAAAGAACGGAAGGATCGGTAGGCGTGGAAAAGCAGCTGCGTTGCATCACGTGTGCACTCGCTGCACGCACATTAACATGCGCGTTGTATTTCACCGGCGTAAACTTTTTAATGCGGCGCGTGTCTTCGATCATATCACCGGGAAGCACAGTGACTCAGGATATGTGTCAACGATGCATCGATGTGTCGAATGGACGCGTAGGCACTGTGAACTTTTTGTCCACAAAATGTAAACGTACTATCAACGCATTTCTAAATCATTATATTTTTTTTTTCCAATCTTA